CCCCCCGCTCCCGCAGCACAGGGGAAACCCCCCTGTGTTCCTCCTCCCCTGGGGCCAACTCCCCCACGTTCCTCCCCCCCCCCCCGCGTGCTGCCTCTCCCAGGACTTACCTCCCTCCTGGCCGCAGGGAAACCGTGCTCCAGGTAAGGCACCGGAAAGGGAATGGGAAATGGAAGGGGCAGGGTTTGGAATTTGGCGCCCCATGCTACTTGGCACCCTAGGCGGCTGCCTAGTTTGCCTGTGGGCACGGGCTGCCCCTGGGTGCGTGTGATTCTGGGATGTTGTCTGTGTCTACCCAGCTGCATTGTGACCGAGGGGAGAGTTTGCCTAAGGCTGTGTATAGACTACATCCCTCTGTCGGCAGAGAGATGTAAATGAAGCACTTTGAAAGTACAAATGAAGCTGGGATTTAAATATTCCACACTTCATTTGCATAATCACGTAATGGCGCTCTTTTGAAAAAAGCACTATTTCAAAATTGAAACCTCAGTCCAGACGTGGAGAAGGATCACATGAGGATTACCTGTTCTGTTCCCTTTCTCTGGGGCATCTGGTATTGGCCACTGTCGGCAGACACGATACCGGGCTAGATGGACCATTGGTTTGACCCAGTCTGGCCATTCTTATGTTCTTATCAAATCATGGCAAATTGCTTAGAGATGGGGCTACTTAAAGCCCAAGACTGGGGATACTCTACTATAAAGCACCAAATCAGTCACAAAGAGCACTTCTGTTTGCCACATTGTCTAGCAAAAAGTCAAACAAGGAATGCCCTTCAGATACTCCAGTTCTCTTGTGCCCCACAGGCAGCACTCCTTATACAGATGAGAGGTTATGAAAATCAATCTCACCAAATCCATCTAGGTTCTTCTGAGGCCAAAGGATCAGCCATATTTCCAGGTTAATTTGTACCTCAGATCTTACTCAAAAAGGCATGCAGTTAGCCAATTCTTTAGAATCTAAAATCTAAGGGCTTATTCATAAAAAGGATATAAAGTTAAAATTGTTAAAGGAATGAAAAACATACACCAATTGCAAGTTCTTGGTGCAAGCTTTTAGCAGAGGTGGAATAATCTGCTATTTTAAATCAAATCTCTGGAGTACATCCTCTGTTTGGAGTCATCACTCCTTTCAAGCGTGAGTTTGTAGCAAAGATGCTCCCGAGATGATGAGCTGGATTGAAGACAAAAGAAGAGTCCCCAAGGGCCCTTTTTATACCCTTAGACATGTGGAGGGACTCCCATTGTTCTCACTGTGTGAAAGTATGTCCCTAGATAGAGTTGGTCGCATGAGCAAGTCACCTGTCCAGGCATGATTCATCACTTACTGGTCTGAACATTCACAGAAAAGGTGTGGATTGGCACCACTTAAGGTGCATTGTCAGTGAAATACTTCTGTTCACTTGACTAATAGTCTTCTCACAATAGGCTGACCAAGCCACCTGTTGATATCTCTCAGAAGCAAACATTTGAAATACAAATAGGCTGACCAAGCCTCCTGTTGATATCTCCCAGAAGCAAACATTTGAAATACAGGTACAGAGCTAATACAGATAACTTTTCATAGACTTCTTACTTGGCCCACTTTGTACAATATCAGGTGCAAACATATAATAGTGGTTGCAACCATGATCTGTATGTTCATATTATAATCCAGTCATATTACACCCTGTTTTCCATCCCCTCTATGAGCCAGGAAGTCTGCCGGCACTGGCACCTTTAGAATTGTGATTCTGCCTATAATCCAATCATATTACACCCTGTTTTCTATCCCCTCTATGAGCCAGGAAGTCCGCTGGAACTGGCACCTTTAGAATTGTGATTCTGCTGCTGGTCAGAGCCAGGAGGTAGAAGGAGGAGGAGAAAAGTGTGTGTGTATGTGTGTGCATGGTTTGGTGGCAGGGAACAAGCTGATTAGCTGTCTCCTGTGCAGCAGACTGAGAGGTGTTGGGGTAACTGGAAGGTCCCTTAGTCCCTGAAGTGTCATTCTTGCAGGAGGTGCTGGAGCCCTGTCCATGCGCATCCTGACCAATGCACGCCTGTGTCTCTCCCCAGCTCCCTTTTCAGAAGGATTGTGGCACAGATGGCCGCTGTGATGACCAGCTAGAAATCTCCTTCAATTTCTCTGGGTAAGTTACCTAAGCCTACCCCAAAAAACCCCTGCCATAGGTGAACCCATCTGGCTTGATCACACCTTGGATCTTCAACATCCAGCTGGAAATCTTGCCAGATTTCCAGTGTTGATGGATCCTAGGTGGGGGGCACTGCTTTTGGGAAGCTCTCAGCACTGGGTTCCTCAGCTAGGCACTGTTATGGGATACTCACAGCAGAAGAAATCCCAGCTGGGCACTGCTGTGGGAAGCTAAGAGTGCTGGGGTCCCCAGCTGGACACTGATAGATGAAGTTCACAGGTCAGTCAGGGCATTGCCCTGAGGAAACTCACCACTTTCTCTGTCCCAAAGCTCAGAGTGCTGGGGTCCCCAGCTGGGCACTGATAGATGAAGTTTACAGGTCAGTCAGGGCACTGCCTTGAGGAAACTCACCACTTTCTCTGTCCCGTAGTTTGAGCACCCTGGTGGTGGGGGTGATGCCTGAATTCAACATCACCGTGTCCATCCAGAACCATGGGGAAAATTCCTACAGCACCACAGTGCGGTTCTTCTATCCGGCCGCGCTGTCCTACCGCCGGGTCCTGCTGCTACAGGTACCACGATGCACGCTTGGCATGGGGCATGCTGTAGGGAGTGGACAAGGGCTCAGCAGGGAGCACTGTCTTAAAGGCAGTGGATGAGGAGCTCAGTAGAGGGTGCAGTGCTGTCAGGAGCAGGTGGGGACTCAGCAGGGGGTGCTGTGCTAAAGGGGGCAGGCGAGCTAGCAGTGGGCACTGTGCTGCAGAGAGCAGTTGGGGGCTCAGCAGGGGGTGCTGTGCAGCAGGGAGCAGGCAGGGGGCTCAGCAGGGGGGTGTGTGGCTTAGGGGACAGGTCTGGAGCGGAGCCGAGGTAGGGACGGGCCCTCGCCTGGGAATGCCCCAGGTGTGAACCCAGCTGTGAGCAGAAAGGGGCAGATCACTGGGGCAGTCCAGGCTGTGGTGAGGGGTGTGCAAACAGAGCCCTGAACTCACTCCAGGCTGGGTCAGGCTGTGTCAGGGCTGAGAAACAAGGGCTGGATTGGGCAGCTGGGAACGAGGCCCCGCTGGAGGAGATGATAGTGAGGGGAGGGGCTGTGTCCTTCCCTGTTGGGGTCTTAAAAGGACAGTTAATGGGGCATTGCCATGGCATGAAGCCAGCTGGGGTCTCGAGATCCCCGACTGGGTTAAGGTTGTTTGATGTTGGGCAGGGCCCTGGCAGTACCTTTGTCTCACTGACTATGTCTAGACTGCATTCCTCTTTTGAAAAAGAGCATCTAGACTACAACCAGTGTTTTCGAAAAAGCAAATTGCTTTTTTGAAGAGAGCACCTAGGCAGTCTGGCTGCTCTCTCTTGAAAAAGCACAGTTTGCATTACATAGCATCTTTTTTCGAAAGAGCACTTTCGAAAAAAAGTGTTGTTCCTCATAAAATGAGGTTTTCTGCTGTCGAAAAAACTGCGTTTTTTCGATTTACTTTCGAAAGAATGCGGTAGCACTCTAGACACAGGTAAAGATTTTTCGAAAAAAGGCCACTTTTTTCGAAAAAACCCTGTAGTATAGACACACCCTCTGGCCCCATTTATTCATACCACAGCCCCTCCCTCCTAACCTCCGTGCCAGCCCCTCCCCCACAGTCTCTGGCAGTTCCACAGGCCCTGAGCCCAGCGACTCTCTGACCCCCTGTGTGTTTCCCAGGCCGTCTTCATCGCCACCTTCGACGTCTCCTCTGAGGCCGACCTGGGGGACAGGCTGCAGATCACGGCCAGCGCCAGCAGGTGAGGGGCTGTGCAGGGCCAGGGGGCTGGGAGGGCACAGTGGAAGGCAGGGGGGTCACCCCTCCCCGCAGTGACAACGGCGGCCCTGTCACTGAGCGCATGGTTCACCAGGCGGAGCTTCCGGTCAAGTACGGCATCTTCATCATCCTCAGCAGGTAGGTCAGTGCAGAGACATTGGGAGAGAGCCCCCTGTTGGGCCCCTTCCTGTTCCCTGCTGCACAGCGCCCCCTGCTGGACATGACACCCACTGCCACCCACCAGCTCCACCCATCACACTCCCATCTCCCTCGTTCCTCCCCCAGCCTCGAGGAGTCGACCAAGTACGTCAACTTCTCCGCCAAGGCGGCAGAGACAAGCGCGCCAGTGACACATCAGTACGAGGTGAGGCCGGTCGCACAGCGTGTGAGGGGCAGGTGGAGCGACGGGGGTTCAGAGGAGGGGGCAGGAGTGGGACTGACTGAGCTGGATCTAGTGGGTTAGAGCACAGAGGGGTGGGGTGGGCAGGGAGCCAGAACTCCTGGGTTCTCTCCCCAGCACTGGGAGGGGAGTGGGATCTAGTGGAGCCGGGGCCTGGGGGTCAGAGCTGCCGGGTTCTCTCCCTGCAGTTCCTAGGGGGAGTCTGTTTCTTCCAGGTGAAGAACCTGCGGCAGCGAAGCGTCCCCCTGTCGGTCACGTTCCAGTTCCCCGTGGAGCTGAGCGGGGTCCGTGTGTGGGACGCCTCTGAGGTCGTCCCCTCCAAGGTACCTGCCTCTCCCTGGGCTTGTGTGTGTGATGGGCCCCGTGACACCTGCATTGCCCCCACAGCGCCCCTGGTGGGACAGGGTTCGGGGCAGAGGGGAGGAAAGGGCTCCATGTTTGCACCACCTAAACCAGCCAGTTCTCTTTTCTGGAGGTGGATTGAAGCTGGTGCCCAACAGGGGAAAGGCCCCATGTCTTCTTCCCACCCTGTTAACTCCATGTCTCTCTCCTGGCCCAGCCCCAGCTGGCTCAGTGCATCAGTGAGGTGGGAACACCTGGTTCTAAGGACTTTGTGAAGCAGATGAACGAGCGCCCCCTGCGCCAGTTCTCTTTTCTGGAGGTGGATTGAAGCTGGTGCCCAACAGGGGAAAGGCCCCATGTCTTCTTCCCACCCTGTTAACTCCATGTCTCTCTCCTGGCCCAGCCCCAGCTGGCTCAGTGCATCAGTGAGGTGGGAACACCTGGTTCTAAGGACTTTGTGAAGCAGATGAGCGAGCGCCCCCTGCTGGTGAGTACAGGCCAGTGTGGTACCAGCAGCCCCTTTCTCCTGCATTGACACATACAGCAAGTGGTGGGCTGGGTTGGGTTGGGGGAAAGCCTCCTGCTACAGACAGACCCAGACCCCCATGGCCTTGCCAAGTCCCTGCATGTCCCTGCCTCACCTGGCAATATCCTTCTGCCCCAGAACTGCTCCGTGGCCACCTGTAAGAAGATCCGGTGCACAATCGCCTCCCTGGAAATGCAGCAGCCACTGGAGTTCATGATCAAAGGGAACGTCAGCTTCCAGTGGGTCTCTCAGGTATGAGAGCTGCCTCTGCCTCCCAGCCAGGTGAGAGACCCCCCACTTGTGAACAGCCCCGGTGCCCTCCCCAGAGGTGGCTGCATCTCAGTGCTGGGCTGGGGATTGCTCCTGTATGACCGGCCTGTCAATTGCTCTGGGACCCCTGTGGTGACGCTCTGGGCGGGTCGGTGTCATTTCCGGTCAGGGACTGGGAGTTTCTCTGTTCCAGACTCTGCAGCAGAAAGTGACCCTGGTGAGCGAGGCCTGGATTGAATACGAGGAGAAGAAATACACCCAGAAGGAGGGATTTGTCCAGCGCCAGGTACCAGAGTGACCATGCCGGGACAGAGAGAGCATGGGCTAGTGGTTAGAGCTGGGAGCCAGGTCTCCTGTCCTGCTCTGTCAGAAAGTGGAGTCTGGGGGTTTAGGGCAGAGATGGGGGATGGTGACAGCAGTCCTGGGTCCCCATCTCACGGCTCCCCCCCCTAGGTGC